AAACCCCCCCCCCCCCCCCCCCCCCCACGCCCCTGCGTACTTGCACTACTTCTTCTGGCGAGGAAATCCTACTATAATACTGCCGATTGCTGAGATGTACGTACGTACATACACCTGTTTACGCACAAGGACAGCCAAATACTCCTAGATGAGATCACCCAGGACGCGCTCTGCTCATTTTCAGCATGCCAGCGGCCCCCAGTCTGGCTTTCCTCTCTATTGAGCCGGACGGGAGATTGACGGGACGGGAACGAGGCAGAGGGCGTACAAAATAGTCTAGGTTGTCCCCATCCGAACATGGATTGGAACTGTTCTTGTGGTGAACGGTTGGTGCGTGGTGGAACACCTGTCTGTGGGCCCGGCCAGGTGACAGAATACAACCCTAATAAGCACGAAGGCGGGAAGCCCCGCTCACTCAGGAAGATATTTAAAACAAACAGATGTGATGCACCGCACGGACCCTTTGCAGGTTCAACCGCCGCGTTTGGGTGGCGACGCGGACAAGGCCGACTCTTGTCGGCCACAGGAAGCGGAAGCTCCTCAAACTCGGGGAGGGGTCATGATCTGCAATTCCCCACCGAATCATACTCAACACTCCGCGAGAATTGCACTGTAGCTCGAGATCAACCTTTCGAGCCGGGTCGGGCAAGGGGTGGGGGAGTCAAATGAAACTTCCACGGACATCGGTCTCAGAAGCTGAAGCTTAAGCTTCAGCTTACAGCTTCAGGGCAGACATCACCCCCACGAGACTCGTGGAGGATGCATATCATATTCTCGCGCATAGGACGGGAGTGGGCACGGATTTCTAGCTTTTATCATTGCGGAGAAAGTCCGAGAAAGAAAGGTCGACATGGTTGTTTCGAGATGCCGCCCAACTCGAAAACCAAGTAAAGCGGGGGACTGTTCTTGATGGTACATCTGTGGACTACAGCAGTAGTGTAGAGTAACGGTTGTGTCGTAGACATGTCTTCACAATCTTGTTTGCATAAAACCTCGCAATGCTTTGTATTCAGCAGGAACAGAAATCCTAGCAAGTCTTCAGAATAACCTACGCCATACATAGGAACAGATTGACTACAACTTGCACGAAAAATAAACTGGGCGTAAGAGATACGGCTTAACCTACACTATGTACATATGCACGACAGACAAAAACATGAGAAACAGGAGCGACCAACCCCAAGACATGGCTCAGGGCCACGAGTGCCTCTCCCTCCGCCCCCCCAACCGAAACTGCATTGCGTTTAGACCACATGCGAAAAGCAGTAAAAAAAGCATGTGGCAGAAGTGTTTGCGGCACAACGGAAAATGCCTCCAGCCACCAGGTAGCTATGTACTCCAACGAAGGACCAGAACGAAAACCACCCCATTGACGACGAAACGTCCAAAGATCCACTACAAAAGCCAAAGTGGTTCACTTTCGCAAAGTACAACCGCAGCAACACAGGTGTACGCTTCGAAATCCGCCATTATCAAAACCATTGCACTATCCTACTAGCACGAACGCCTTCCAACTTTGCGGACGATGCCCGAAACCGCAAGAACCGGAGTACGCATCGCGGTCACTCCTTACATCATGTACACAGATGACATCGATGTGTTCCTTCACCTTTTCGGGTACTTTGCTAGGGCGACTTCTCGTCGTTCTGCTGGTTGCCGTCGAAGTCCTGGTGCGTTTGAGAGTATTTATTCAAGATGTAACTGCCCGCCGTGACAGGCGGGTACTTGGCCGGGTTCTCCTCCGAGCAGCATTGCGGGAGACACACAACCTGTTTACGACGGAAAAGAAGAAACATTGCAGCATGCAAGAGAGCACAGGACGCAGTTGGACCCCATGCAAAAGAACGCAGGAGCGAGGGGTCATGCGCACGCCAAAATGATACAAGGTTAGAAAACCCAACCACATCTGCGCTATTGTTGATGGTGCGGTTTGTGGTATTGCTTGATGTTAATATGGCACGCGCCGTCGCGGTAGGGGTTATAAGAAAGGAGGGCGTACGCTATCGTGCGCGTTCCCCTCCCCGCATCGCCCACGGGCGTTGGAAGACACCAGTTTCGCGAAAAATTCAACATGTAGCCAAGCACAGCTGAGACCTCCAGTTTCACCCTTGGACAACTTGAAGTCACTCATCCCCTTGCACCAACCCATTTTGTGTAAAACGCGTAAGACTGCGGTCGTTACATAAGCGGTCAGGAGGCCAGAAAACAACCGGTTGACCTAAATAAAAAAAGCGCAGACGCTGCTGAACAGCCTAAAACGCATGAGGCCGAGAACTTGAAATCGTGAATGCCTAGAACGGTGACACAGTGAAACGGACGAAGGCGAACTTCCTGTCGTTTGCGGGTTATTGCGCATTCGACTTGGCTCCCGACCTCACGAACGTAGCAGCATGTCGTGAATACAGCAATACTTTCTCGGTAGCAGCGTAGCCATGTAACGCATTCCCGCCAGCACACAGCAGCATGTGCCTGCCTAAGATGCAAACCTCTGTGTCGAAGTTCAGCTCGAAGAAGAACGGGATGCTGTAGCGTTCGCGGCCCAGCTTGTTCACGACGCGGTGAACAGTAGACCGCAACTCGTCGTTCGTCCTGAGTTTTACGATGATGCCGGTGCGTGTGGTGTGCTGGGTGTGAACTCTCGTGAGGTTCTCCCTCGCTCGAGAATAGTGTAATCCGAGGCCTGCAGGTCGCCCCGGTGGTCTAGTGGGTAACCTCGCAGCCTGCTAAAGGCCAGGTCATGGGTTCGAGTCCCGGCAGAGTGAGTTTTTTTCTCACTAAATAAATCCTGGTCTAGGATGAAAGCGACGCGTTGCGAAGCTCGTTGTTAGTAAACCATAATCGACTTCGAAAGTCGCGAAGGAAGGAACTGCTGTACCCTTCTCGCGTTAAAATTACCTCAGGCAGGAACCGCAGGAGGGGGTCCAGCCCCCCCCTCCTATGTGACCCCGGTTGAGTCGCCTCGCTAGTAGAAGTGGAGGATAGGGGCCAGAGGGGCAGACGACAGAATCCGATAATGGGAGAAAAAAAAAAAAAAAACGTCTGCTCGATAGAAAACCGTCACAATTGGGGTCAAGCGGCTGAAGGATCTAGAGTATGTTCCCCTCATTCATCTGTTCAATGGCCTTCGTTGTTAACGTCGGCGTACTGCTTGTTTCAAGCTGACTCGAAATCCTTGAGATCCGAAATTCCATGCATTGCAAGAAGAGCTCAAAAATCAAGAGGTGTTCACGGCAGGTCGTAGGCATGGGGTGTCAGCAGGCGCTACTCTTGCGTAAGAGTGGAAACGACACACACCACTCGCCATCTTTGGAGCATGTCGCCGAGGTTACAGATGAAGGCCCCCTCTCTAGGAGGCACATCCAACCACTCCCCGTTCAGCCTAACCTGCAGCCCCGGCACCTCATCCTGATCAAACGGCGGCCAACGAACCGCAAATGAACACAGCATTCACGAATCGATCGTAAGAAAGCGCATATATATGCATATACGGCCAGGGATAGCCAAAGGTACAACATCTCAAGGAAACTCTTGACAGCATCCACATCAACCATAGCTACTACTTAGACCGACGATGGTAACAACACCAAGAACACCAACAAGCAGTGACAGAACAGCCACATATATTCGTTGCGTGGACAATCTCCCACATAGGTGGTACTGCTACTTGGAAGGCACAGATTCAACACCACTCATACCACACAAGCCGCTCGATTGCAAAGCATGTCTCGACAAAGCAAACACCAATCGTATACACCAAAACTCCCCAACAAACATCACCCGATACACTCGTGAAAGAGCGGGGGTGAGGTAAGTTGCAAACGCCGTGGGAAACCCGAATCAGCTAGCTGCTCAAACAGCGGAGGGGGGCACTTGTGGAAGGTGGGTGCAAGTTGACATTCCGTCGAGTTTCTGTAAACTTCACAGACGACTTTCTCGCAAAGGGAAACCATGTAGGCTCCACTGCTAACCTTACCGAGAAACTAAATACAAGGCCATCAAATTGTTCGGCTTGCTCACCGTGGCCAGCAAGGTGAGCAGCCCGTAGTCGGAATGAGCGCCCGCACCCATTACGCCTTTCGCCGGGTCCGAGACCTGATTGCGGCAGTTGTTATTGGCATTGCTGCTGCTGTGGTTGTGGTTGTTCCTGTTGTTCTTGTTGCATTGTCAACACTTGGGTTGCTCTTGGTGTTGCGTGGTGGCGGCTATTGCTGTTCCGTGGCATTTGTGTTCGCTCTTGGTACTGTTTTCGATCTCGCGACCGTATTGAACGCTTCGATCGTGCCACATGTTTAGTCTCCATGCTACATACGCGCTATCGTGTTGCTGGTAACCTTGCTGTTAACCTTGCAACATATCGCGGTTGGTACCGCTATTGTGGATCTGCGGGCTTTGCGATCATTGCTGATGTTTCTCTTAAGTTACTGTAACTGCTGCTGTCTGTGTATCTTAACACAAGAACACCTCTTGCGTGTGACCTCCCTATTCCGTACGACTCCATTTCCCTCAGACTGCGCCTTGCGCTGGGGCACCATTTCGTCAAAAAAAGTCTCGACGTGTTTCGTTCGACCGAAGTCCTACAGTCTACTGGCACCACGAGCGTCATTGATACCTCCGCCGAATAGTGAAGCAGGCGCAGCGCATGGGCCATCTCCGAGGTGCAACTTTCGAAGAACGACGGGTCAAGTCCCAGGCCGACGGACAGCAGTCCCGAGAGCCGCACTCCCACGGCATGCATCGTGGTGAAGTAGCGCTGCATGGTCGCCCTCCACCTGGATTCAGTAGTTCAGACAACGTGCAATGTGCCCGCCATCACCAACATATCACTGGATTTGGATACATTTTTATTCTTTATCTGCGGATGGTGAGGTTTCTAACCTGGCGAATATTGTATTGGTCGTTCTTACGTCTGACCACGGGCGTCTCTATATTCTCTGTAGAGGATTATCACGGGAATTGCGGGAAAAATCGGTTCAGGACGGGCCGCTCTAGGTTACCGCACAATACGGGCGACAGTGACCATGACCAAGACGTACAACGTCCCCTTACGCATAGAACAGCAAACGCAACAGTAGTTGACATGAATTACACATTCCTCGGCTACGGCTCCTTTGGGGGGGAGATGTTCCAAGCCCCGCAAAGCAACCGAGACGGCGCCATTTTCACAACCAAATTCGTGCAAGCCATTGGAACCATGGTATTCCGTGGTGAACAAACTTGATGCACGGTCGTTCCGGAGTTGTCAGTACAGAGGTGCGCCGGTAGATGGAGCCGGGATGAGGTGGGAAGGGGCGCTTTTCGAAGCTGCCGCTCGCGCCCACAAAACGTGAAACCCGAGAAACGAAACAGTTGAGGGTTTCGACAAGAGTACGAATAGCCACATCCACGGAAAAGGGCGAAATGGGACAACATGTGCTCGGTACGTCCCAAGCAAGGGCATTGAATGTGTCTTTGATTTCGCGGCGACGTTCACAACGAAGAACGTCTAACTGGGACGGTTGTTGTTGTTCTAATATCAAAGAGGATGATTTTCCGAAACATGTTTTGTGGCACCCACCCCGGAACAAGGTCCTCGGACGGCCACTGGTTCGGGCCCTTGAGGGGTCTGGCGTCGTCTTCCTCCCCATCGGAAGGAGTAGGCAGCTCCCGGAATATGTAGTACCCTTCCTGTTTGACAGGAAACAGGAGATGGGGGGGGCGTACTTGGTGTCTGGTGTCTGCATCGAAAAACGTGTCATTGACCGAAGAGGGTAGAGCACGCATCGCCGATACTGTCACTACATGGCAACCGACGACGATCGCATTATCAACAGGGTTCGGCAAGGACACACCGAGGAATAAGAGCGAGGCCAAGGACAGGAACATCAGAAGAAAGAAGAAGGGAGAACCACGCCACCACCAACAACAGCAACAACAACAGCAACAACAACAGCAACAACAACAACAACAACAACAACAACAACAACAACAACAACAGCCCGCTTCATTAGTAAAATAGGAACAGCAGGCACAGCACCAAACGAGGCAATCACCACGACACGGGTCAGCTGCACCTTACCTTGGTATCCCCCTTGACCTGCTTCGAAGGGTCCAGGATCTCCTCGTGCATGGGAGTGAAACCGCGGTTGTGTCTGTCCGCCTTAAGAGCCATCTTGTCGTCAATGCCCAGCGAAAAAAACGCTTTCGATTGCCTGAATACCTCTCGCATTACGTCCTTGGAAACGCCGTGGTTTTCTACGTAGAAGAATCCGAACTCTTTGCATGCCTGAGAATACGCGAAAAGTAACGGCAGCCAAGCTTTAAAACGGAAACCCTGCGGGTATTTTTTGCATTCGGCAGGATAGGATTCAGCTGGAGAAAGGGTGTTCTGTTGTTTTCGTTGTCGTTGCTGGTGTTGCTGCTGCTTGCTAAATTTGGTTTGGAATACACCATTCACAGGGGAATACCTATGGCCTAAAATGCCTTGACACTAGCAATGAGCAAGGCCCCACAACCCACAACAAACGAAGCTCCGGGTGGAGCATCCGAGCAATAGCACTTGGCCAGCGCGCTTGTGCCATTAGCTCACACGCGGCACAATACTGAAACGTCTGTGAGGGTAAGACTGGCGGAATGATACTTTCAAGATCGGAAATCACCACGGCATGACATGTAGTAACGTGCGAAGCCCGTTGGCACGTCGTAGCCGCGAAGTTTTCACAAACAAGAGCAACTCGAGTCATGCCCCGTCGGATCAACCCCAACCTGCCAAGCGACCACCCACCACGCGCCACTTTTTCGTCGTCGTTGTCGTTCTGTTCACACGAAACAGCCGTGGCCTGAATCGAATCCCGTTCAAAATCCCCGCCTACCCGACCCGAAGCGGACGATTCCCGGTTAAGCGCGAAGTTATCTATCGTGGAGCCAAACATTAAACATTCAAAAATGTCACATTACAAAAATTTGCTACTAGCTTAAGAAGTTACCGGTTTCCAGACTCTAATAAAGGATCTGGGGTTCTTTATGCAGATGAAATAATAGCATGCAAAGAGGGTAAAAAACTCAATGTTAAATAAAAAGCATTCGCGTCTTTTTTCTCTATTTATTGGCTATTCCGGTTATTTAGTTCCTTTTCCACGGAATGAGTATTCTCCAATTTCAAAAACCCTGCACCCGTTTCTTTTACGTAAACGAAATATGTATTATTTTAACGATCTTACAAAAAGTTTATATGGTATTCGTGCAACGATAGAAGTCTTAAAAAATATAATTGCCCTGTCTAGCCTCTTCCAAGCCGGTCGTGCCAAGGCGGAAAAAACAACCTGGACGTCCGCCAAACTAGGAACTTCTTTGTCGGCGGCGTGTGAGCCCTAGCCTCATGGATGACTGAGTTATTCAGTCCTTCCGAATCTCTCTGCCTGTGTATGCTAGAAGAAAAAAATCGTGGTTACACCCGGCGGTATGGACTTCTCAACCAAAATTAATTCTTCCATCTGGCATCACGGACGAAGGCATCTGCCATCGCGGAGGTCTGCGCTTGTGCCCCCCGAATCCGAGCAAATGATGCGAAAAAAAGCAATACCGTTGAGTAGGTTGAGGCTGCGGGCAGCGGTACTACAAATGGGACGAATCGAAAGAGGCGAAACTGCTGTTTTACATATATACCTTGGCTAGAACCTTCGGTGCTTCGGGACTCTCCATGTCCACGACAGGAGGCTCCCACATGGTGTTCCTGCTCGTAACCTCCTGCGCTCGTGCTGCGGCGAGTTTTTCCTCTCTACTTCCCGGTCACACACATCGCTCGCTCGCTCGTTCTCTGTCTCTGTCTCTGTCTCTGTCTCTGTCTCTCTCTCTCTCTTTCTCCCTCTCTCTCTCTCCCTCTCTCTCTCTCTCTCTCTCTGTGCGCTCCTCCTGAACAGTTTTCGCATGAACGCGGCGGCGGGGAAGCTATGATCATTCAGTCGCTGCTGCTGCTGCTGCTGCGTCGGAAAGTGTGAGAAGTCGGAGATATGTTCGCTCTCGAATCACCGCTGCTGTGCTCACTCAGTAAAGGGTCGCCCAAGGGCATCAGTTGGCATCGCATACTCTGTGTTTGGCGCGGCTGGAGCTTCCGTGTCTATTGAGCATCTCTAAGAGTTTCACTGACGGGAGGCGCCATGGCTAAGGCTGTTGTATCAATGACTCCAAAATCGGACGGTGTTCTTGGTAGACAGCAGTAATACAAGAACATGGTTTAGGCTGCACGAAACAACTGTACTCCCTGCGTTGCCTTTCCGATTTGCGAAATACAGTCTTATCAAACAAGCATGCCAGGCAAAGGGAATTAAACGGCCAAAGTTCATTCGAAAAGCACCTGCAGCATCAATACATAAGAAATCACAGTTACCGAAAGTCCTACAAGGCTGAATGTCGGTTGTTTTCCCCGAGTGTGTACCGGCGAGACTGTCAGCTTCAACCCAACGAGGGCGAGGAAACCCTCTTTGATGACACCTACACAGCAGTCACAGCGGTTAAGGATCAAGGATATACTGCATCCAAGAGCTCACGGTACCTGAGAATTAGGGCCGATACGTACCAACTGTGTCTGACCAGACAATTGGAACCTTAGCTGTGTGTGGTCTCGTGCTAGGTATCTCGTGAGGACTGCTGTTGATACCGTTAGTATTTCTTGTTGGACACATGCCAACTTCGACGCGTGGAGCTCCGTGTCTACGAAGAAAGAGGCGTCATGGTCATGGCGTCATGTTGTCATGTTTTAGTCTAGTCGCCAATTCCAGTGTTCCTTGAAGTCAACGGCAAAGAGAAAATGCAATGTGGGTCCCGCCTGTTGTCGACATGGACAGCTCCTCGGCGCCCACGGTACTCGCCAAGGTATGATGACACACAACCTGTCGGCGCATGATATATGCGGTTTAGCTGTAGACTGCTGTAGACTTGCCGGGAAAATCCCCACAAGCGTTGTGCTGCTGTGTGCGCACAGGGATGACATGTAGCAGGGCTACATTTAGATACAACAGCAGTTGGCAACGTGTCCACCCATCCACAGACTGGACGCTGTCGGCACTGTCGGGAAAATGGAATGTCAACACCTCCGTGATGTACAATGGCTCGAACCTCGAACAGCCCCCAAGATCGAGAAAAGAAAAAAAAAGCCAAACAATGACGTCTCCACGACAACATGCAGCACTCCTGTAGTCTTTGTCGCAAAAGTATTGGATGTACCCAGGGAGGCGCACGTAAGCCATGCACCCACACTTGGCAGTCCCGCCTATAATGCATACCCAAAATCTGAGAATTGAAAATGGACAAGATAAACGTTACCAATAAGACTACACAGTTTTGCATACGAAAAAGGACGCTGAAAAGTGTACACTAGTCTACAGAGTGGGGGTCCCGGTTTAGTGACCCCTAGAGTAGTGCCACGACGAAATATAGTCGCTATTCAGGGCATCTCGCTCAACCCGGTTTAGTGACCGCTGGTCGGTGGTCGCTAAACCGGGAATAGCGCCATTTCGTGGGACAAAAGGCCGTGTTGCAGAAATCTTCTTGACCGGGTCGGTCATGTATGCGTCGTATTGCAGCACTCAAATGAAGGTAGAGGAAAGAAAAAGCACCTTAGGGTAGACAACCGGGGAGTAGTTCCTAGGCGGTATGCGTTCCAATCAACCAGCAAGCTTGTTCACCGTCCGAAGTTAGTAGGAAATGTCTCAACAACAAGTGTACCGAGGGTGCCCTGTGTCTTTCTATTTTCCCGCATGCTGACAATCTGTCCCTACATGTACCAACACAAAAAAACACCTCAAGTCCGATCTGCGAATATTAAAAAAATCAAGGCGGGAAAGGAGGAAACTTTATGGCTACGTCCCCAATAACAAAAATAAAAACCATGGCACGGGAAAAGTTCGTGCACGCCCAAGCGGACAAGGACCTCGCGCTGGTAAATAGTGACTTCATTCTGCTACTGTCGATTGTACCGATCATGTTTAACTAAACATATCTCTAATGTAGGTCTGTCGCGCTGGTTTCGCGGAATGTGTTTCGGTGAACAGCAGCTTTGCCTCCCCTCGTTACATCGCTCCATGAGTTCATAGCAGCAACAGACAACGTTTGTTCACGGCAGCCGCAGGTACTCGCCTTGTGTGGTCGTGCTCGGGATGACAGCATTCTTCTCTCCTCCACTGCCGAGACTGCGTTTGTGCCTGCGTATCGCCCGGCGTCTGCTGATCCCCTGTGGTGCTATCGGATTTGACTCCGTTCCACACAAGCTGGCGAGCCCTTTCTGTGCACCGTTTGGGTGCGCGTCATGCTTTTCGTTTCCCTTCTGCTTCTCGTGAAAAATTGACTCTTTTCTTTGGGCCATCTTTCACCTTGAAAGCAGCTGAGTTGGAGAAACATCTTCTACACAGTCCAAGGGGTGTGAATAAACGCACACCTAGACGGATCGAACTTGAGCGACTTGCGGCATTGCGCACCTTTTGGTCGGATATTTTGGTGTCCCCGTCCGACACGGGTTCTTTTGTGCTTTATAAAAAGGTGTACGTCGAGGGTCCCGACGGGTCTTTGCGCAAATGTCCTTCTACCTGCAAGAAAGTGGCATCGATAAATCTCAAAGCGACACGATTCGTGGTTTGAGCGTCGACAAGAGCAGCTCGAACCCGTTTGCGCAGCAGGGGGGACTATCCATTGGCCCATATTGGAGAGCCAAAATTCTGTTGGCCCTTGACATCAATTTTGCGAAGGATTTCGGCGACAACTCCTCGGCAGCTGGAAGCAAAACGGGAAATGTCGTCCGGATTCAAACCAAGCGACAAGCGATTAACACTGTCTAAATGTTCAGGCTTCATGTTGTCCATCTTGTTTTGGATGCGAATGACATCTGCCTTGGCTGTTTCAGCTGCAGCGCCGTCCAAGACCTCCTGGGGCTCCCTCGCTCCTATGGACGACAAAGGCAGAGCAGCGTCATCCGGTAGCGACACCCTCGGCGAAACATCTTGCTGGGACTGCGCAACGGAGTCCCCTGCCACAGAGCCTGCACCTGTCAAAACGGACACCCGCTGAGGGACAATATTCTTCTGCAACAGGGGTCTTGACACCGAAGGTCGTCCCGAAAGTTCCTGCCGCAAAGGGCTCGTCCTCACAAGTTCGGCTAGCGATGGTGACTGCAATGGGCCTCCAGAAAGTTCCTGCCGCAAAGGGCTTGTGTCCGACGCAATTGAAGGCGCTAGCGAGGGCGCACGTGAAGCTTGAGCGTGAGGCGAAGCGGGAAATCTGGAGGCCCTAAAGGCCGGATCTTGTGGCAGTTAAGGATGGTGCGGTGGCTCGTGCGTAGCCTCTTCTTCAGGGACAGAAGCAATGACAGGTTGGCTGTACGAGAGGAAATGGGTGCTGTACGCTCGGTTGTTGGGATCTCAAACGGGCACCAACATCTGCTGCGCGTTTCGGCAACTGTGAACGTGAATCTTAGGCAATTCGCTCGTCGGTGCGGTGTACAGGTTCTCACGAAATGGCAATAACATTCTCGCCACCACGGTGCGGTGGCTGTGATGGTCACTCCAACCGCCCGGATCTGTTTCCAAAATGAGCTTGAAGTCAGGATTGAGCAAGCCGGTGGCGTTCACAATACTGCGCGTGCAGAGTTTGAAAGAATGGTCCTCGCCCGTGTATTGAGGCATCTTCCCTTGTACGACTGAACACCATCTTGCTGAGCTTCGATAGTAACCAACGGGGTGAATCAAGCCATCGGGTTAGCACCGAACGAGATACAAATGGGAAAAATTCCGCAAATACCGCTTTCGACCCTACGGTAGGTGGTCATCAGAGTTTAGACCGCGACCAATTGGTGTACTGTATTGCAATTTGGCTCTGGACCGTCAACGTCGGGCGTACAATCTCGCCCGGGCGCGCAACCCGCCCAAAGTTTCGCTTGTCAAGCGTCGCAACTCCTCTCCTATTGATGTCATCAATAAGCTCTCTACGAAAACCGCTGGCAGTTGGGCTTGGGTGTACAACACGGCCGCAGCCATTAGGCAAGGGGCCAACAAGAACACGGATCAACAGGTTCTCAAGGCTAACTTTTCGCCCCCTTGGACAGGGCCTTTCAAAATGTCTTGCTGAGGGTACCGCCTCTGCCGAAGATACTCCAGATGGCCGAGCTTTGCGCGCAAACTGCTGCACCTGGATCTTCCTTCGGATCTTGCTGGTCTGGACCCTCGCACCCTTCTCTCGGTCCTACGATGCAACCCTGTCGTACTCCGTATGACACGGACGATTTGACGCAGTCTCTGCCCTCTGGACTTTCGCGATATTTTTCGCACTCTTTTGGGGAAAATTGCCCGCCGTTCCGTGTCACCGAGGATGAAGTATCTGGGCCCGTAGGTCGTCTTGAAGTGGAACACACATCTCGGGCCATCAATTGGTTCGGCATCGTAACGTTATCCTCGCGGTGTTGTACCAGGCACGCCGGATCGGCCTCACCACTCCGTCTTGGGAACAAGAATTCGATCTGGATAGGTTTCGTCGGCACATTCTTTAGCATTGGTCCAAGCAGCAAGCAGGGTAACCGCAGTTATCGCGTGACTCGTATTCGTGTGGCACACCGCGAGCTTGCAAGGTCTCGAGGAGAACGATACATGCCTCCAGGATTTAGTCTTGTGTCTCACGATACTTGGCTTCGTCGCTTTGGTGCCTCTCCTCTGCCAGTCGGCGCGAGATTGTGGTACAAGGCACGCGATGGCCTGTGGTGGAATGGTCAGATTGGGGCTCATCAGGACGGATCGTGCGTCGTTCGGCTTTTCGATGACCCGGGTCCCAGGATTCTCCTTTTGCCCACGG